TCTATCTATCTATCTATCTATCTATCTATCTATCTATCTATCTATCTCTGTGTAATGAGGTCAGCATAAGTTTTCATTCAGCACGGTGTCTTTTTGTTAAGAAGTAATAAATGCAACATCCCAGCATATGCCAATAGCCCCACAGTGCACCACTCAGAGGTTATTTTTTTGTTGTGAACACTTAAACAATGCAGATTTTCCTCAATTGTGTTTCAGAATCGACAGAGTCTATTCTCATCCCAAGGAAGAAAACATGGTATGTGTGGATTTAATAGTGTATATATTTTATATTTCTAGTATTATTAAATGTCACACAGAGCATGAACTACAAAGTCAGCTTCATGCTCCCAACTGTACATTTCCATGCAAAAGTTATTTTTTCTTAATAAAAAGTCTCTTTTCTTTTCAGTGTGATTTAATTGATGTAATTTCTTAACAAATAGGAGCAAAAACACAGTTCTGGAAGCTTTGGCTTCGACTGTCAGCAGGGTGAGAGTTTACTTCCTCCTGTATGATTTTAGTTTCCTCTGTTATCATTGATTCGTGTGGCTATTTATCTTGTCACTTACAAGTTTCTTCTTTTTCTGACCAGGATCCCACAGCATACCCCTATCAGTTCCAGGATGATCCATACCTGTCTCCCAGGACTTCTGCTGAGTTTGTATGTTTTTGTATTTAGATTTGTTTGGCTACAAAATTCAACATTTAGATACTGATACAAGATTAAATCTGGAAAGTTGATCTTTTGTTTGTTCTGTTGTGTAAAAGATAAAGATTTTTTACATTTGAAAAAAAAAAAATTTAAATAAAATTTCCAAATCACACACGGACGAAATTTTGAGAAATTTGTTATAGAACCCTTTCTGCCAAAAATTCAATTTGTTCAGCAAACGTTATTTAAATCGACCATTTTTTTAGTGTGGATCGTTCCAAAACTCACAGCAAACATGTCGTTTAGCTGGGAGGTGTCACTACCTTTTACAGTCACTGAGGGGTGTGATGAAAACAGATTCTGGCTGGAAAACAATTTGCCTTGTTGGTGTTTTCATTTTCTTTTTGTGACTCTCTGTCTGTCATTGTTGGTCAGAGTGAAAGTATAGACTGTTGTGTATACATAGATGTGTATCTGTGTGTCCCTGCAGAAGCTGTTTTCTCTCTCCCAAGAGTCTGGCAGGTCTGCAGCCAAATACTTTATCAACAACAATCCAAAGTTCTTTACAAAAGACTTTGCAGAGCCTCATATACCAGTAAGAAAGACACAAATAGAGGAGCATCAGGGCTTTTTTTATTATTTTTTTAATTGAATCATTCTTTAAAGAGGTTATTCCTCTGGTGTATCTGTGTGTAATTATGTGTGTGAATGCAGTGTTTGATGCCAGACACCGTGTCATTGCATCTGGAAGAGGTGAGTGAGGAAGCACTTAAGGAACGAATCAACCTGAGGAAAGTATCAACTGCGGTTGACCTGTTCGATCAGCTGCTGCAGGCTGGTAAGGTCAAACACACCCCCTCTCTTCCAAATTTGTAACTGTCAATCCACCATCGCACCTGTTTTGCCTCCTGCAGGCACATCAGTCTCCATGGACACAACCCACGACCTGCTGGACCTCATTTGTTTCTACTGTGACAGGGATCCCGTCCAGGAGGGTGATCCACAAATGGCGGACGAAGTGAGTGTTCCATCATTCACACCCAATACTGAGAGGGCGCACATGCTGCGCTCTTAGATTTTTTCCGTACGGTGTGTTCAGGAAGAGGGAGCTGAGGAGGCTAAGAGACGGAAGGGGAGAGTGCGTCGAGCATCAGACTTTGTGAAGTTTTCCTGGAAAGAAAACAACAATGCAGAGAGGATCTTCAACCTGCTGCCAGAAAGAGACGCGCAGTGTTACTCTGCACTGATCAGAGGCATGGTGAAGGTAGGAGCTCATTCAGTGCCACAATAGGAGGATCATTAGCAAGCTTCAGAACATACTGAATATTTATGCCCCTGCGTCCACAGCATGGAGCCTACATGAAGGCATTCAATATGTACACGGACATGCTCAACAATAGGCTGACAGGTGAGTCCACAAGGAAACCATGAAGAGAAACCAGCTCATTCATTTTTATTGTGCAGATGGAGCTGTAAATGATTAATCTAAGATTAAACAGCAGTTTGCACCATAATATTAATTTAATTATTTAGAGCTTACTTTTGAAATAATTTTTCAGTTTTTAAGAAAATATCTAAGTTGTAAAGGTCAAGTGTTTTTAGTTCTTTACTCACAATTACTTTTAGATTTCAATTAATGCAATGTACTGAATCATGTCACTGATGGCATTTCAGTCTGTGTGGTTTATAAGATGTCTGCTAGATAGATAGATAGATAGATAGATAGATAGATAGATAGATAGATAGATAGATAGATAGATAGATAGATAGATAGATAGATAGAT